GTTATCAAAAGCCATCCTCGTAATTTATTGACTCGTTATCAAGCGGTCGGATTTATCTTCTTAACATGGAAATCTTTATTGGTATATGAAACATGCTAATATGTCATATTGTGGTCTTTTGTACTTTCCAATACATCTAACAGAAAGAAATGGCGGCGATTTAAGCATCTTTCTAAATACTATATAGTGTTATAAAATCACAGATAGGTCTTAAATCTATAGGTAGCTTAACACAGAAAGCATAAAGAGGTAACGTAAACCCTGAAGCCGCTATGGTAGTTGCAATACTAAAAATTTAAAGTAACTTAGTTTAAATATTGAAGTAACCGATGTAAGCGCTTAACGGATAACAATCATATATTATTTGTATTTCTAAACTGTTCTCATGCAATTACTACGAAACAAGCGAATTAGGCACGCTTGTTTACGTGCCACGTACTAACTATGAACAACACGTACGAGTATGTACTGCGTTTACTTCCGGTTAAATTACAATTGCTAATCGATTATTCACAGCATTCCATCGCCTTCGCAGTTTACAATCATTATGTTTGTAAAAGCTTCTAATAATTTGCTTTAACTATTCCATGTTATTTTTAAAGAAATATTCATATCTTTTTTTTAAAACATATTTTATTTTGCTTTAACAGTACCCATCCATATCTCTTATATTTAAAATTATCTACAGTCTAATAATTATAATAGGGACTCATAGACACATGTTAAAAATACTTCAGCGCTGATATATCTCGTAGCTGACATTTATACAGCAATGTTGAACATATGATGATGATAGCATCTTATTACTCATATCACAACGTCCTACAAACGCTACACTACATTACAATTAGATTATTCTGGACGTCTAGGTTGTACAGGTAAGCTATTTTGGAGATATAGGTATTACACACCGAATCGAGTAGCCTTGTATAGTATATGTAGATATGATTCATCATTCGAGCTGATCTACTTTGCTGTTAGTACAAGTATTGTTTATGACAGCCTAAAATAGGAATGTTTCATGCAAGCGTCTAACGGAGTCTTTGCGGAAGAGATCTTCAATGGATTCCTGTAAGTACATCTTATTTTCTCTAGATACCGTAAAGAGACGAGACTGGAAGTACTTCAAGTAATCAAAGTCAACAACGATATTTTCCGAATCTCCAATGGGCTTGCATTCTTTCGGCTTGTCGAAAACTGAGGAGTCTTTGATTCCTGCAGTAATGTTCTTGAACCAAGCTGCTTTATATTTGGTAATAGCTTTACCCTGCATCTTTGCTTTCTGGAAAGCTAATACGGCAATTGGAATGCAACCCGTTGCAGATACATCAATTATCGCTCCCAAGGATCCATCTTTTTTGGAATAAGCGAAGGTATTATACTTTAATGTAGCTCCAAGCGTACCTGCCATATAAAAAGTAGCGATCTCAGGAACGCAGGCCTCGGGCATTGGTGATTTGATGGAAGCTGAGAGGCAATGGCCGTTGAGAATAGAATAGAGCTTTCCTTTCTTATAGTCGCCGATGACTGTATGATGGACTGTCTTACCACCAGTTAGATATATGTCCTGATCAACTCTAATCTTGCTATTTTGGTAATCATATGAAATATGCATTAAAACGCGAAAGGTCGAGTTCATAGCAGTTTTTCCGCTTCCAACGACATTCATGTCGGCTGTTTCAACAACACCTTCCCATTGCTTTGGTGTACAGCATGGTTTAGGTGCAGTTGCAATAGCAATACCAACGAGAGAGACAAGAATCAAAAAACGATACATATCTGTGTTTTATTTAAAAGTAGAGTCGATAACAAACTCAAAGCAATTCAGGAAGAAGTGAATTTTATTTGAAGCTCTGTAGTATATTTAAAGCTAACTGAGGCTATTGTTTGCTTATTAAGAAAGCTTTCAACTTAAATTAAGGTTAAAAATCCTTCAAATTACCGAGCATACGCTGCAGTACTATAGGTTGAGCAGCTTAGCTACCTTGTAGAGTGCACCTATTGTAAATAGCCTTAGTACACTTAACGAGGAACACGTGCTATAAGCTTTTTTTTACTTGACGTAATGTCGATTGACAACAGTTAGCGACAGTATTGTAATCATTTGAAGTGCTTCCAACTCTATTGTCCGGACATTTTTTGAAATTTTAGACTCTTTTGTTTGTTTAAACTTTTACTCTGTGTCTTAATTAAAAGTGAAGGAAAGAGATTGTAGACAGAGGGCACATCACGTACAAGTAAACAAATAACTTAATAATAAAAAATATTGCAGAGAAAATCATGTGATTGCCACATTGCAAATTTGGATGAATGGTTTCCATGGATTTCACGAGATTTAGTTAAAAATTATGAGCCGTTATGAACGACCGTATCGTACGAGCCTACAGTATTGTGCTGTACTGTACACCACGATTACTCAGATACTCATAGTAAATACATTAGCTTAAACGATGATACAGTATGTACTGTACAGTACTGTACAGTACTGTATTGTGTGGATTCAATAAATACTGTAAATCAATATACAGTACTGTACAGTATTAACGATGCACTCTATCTGGTCTGCCTGGTCAATGTTAGCTCTGTATCATAGTAAGCAAAGATTTGCAGCGACGGAATCAGGACTTTTTAAAGAGGAAATTCCCCTTATTAGAAGTCCCTGACGGAATTTACTGTTCTGTATTGTGTGGATTCAATAAATACAGTAAATCAATATACTGCACTGCACTGTATTAACGATGCACTCTATCTGGTCTGCCTGGTCAATGTCAGCTCTGTATCATAGTAAGCAAAGATTTACAGCGACGGAATCAGGACTTTTTAAAGAAGAAATTCCCCTTATTAGAAGTCCCTGACAGAATTTACTGTTCTTGGCGTAGCCCGATCTGAAATTTAGTTTCTACAACTCAATCACAACCAACAATTCATATTTTGACTCAAAAGGGGCTTTGAAAATCCCAATGCAGTACTGTAGATTAAACGCACTGACTCACAGTATTCAACTAGACTACAGTAGACCAGACCATGCAAACCTCCAGTGACTGTAATATACAGTACATTGTACACTAGTACTTTGTGCTGTACAGTACTGTAGGGTTACAGTGCTGGACTGTACTGTACTGTACTGTATATTAAATTACTTGAATTTATAAGCTAATTGTAATATATTGTATCAACATAGATGCGCTGACATGCGTTAAGGTACTGTATTTACTTGTGCTGATTTTGATGACAAGGTATCTATTGCACTTATACTCCTACTGATAAAGATAGGTTTAGTTAATATCAGTTTGACGGTACTCTAAGTTCGATAGCGACTATTAAACAGTATGTACAGTACTGTCTTTAGCTGTAGAAAACAGCTCATGCTTCACTATCTCGTGGTCTCTATCTCAATCCCTCCCGTTGTTGTGCATGGTTAAAATAAATAATAAAGCCTATTTTGATCCTGAATCATCTCCGCATCGTGTTGATCGTAGAGGCATTTAGTTTTCAATGTACTGCATGACCGCATAGATGGCACTAATGATAGGATAATAAAGTATATAGATATTTTTAATTTAGTAATGACTATGTGTTTGGCGTGATGTTCAACGATATGTCATAGAGTCCGAACATATCGAAATCACATAACTATTTAGAAATATCATATCTTAAATTTTGAATGTTTTAAATACTCGTTGAATAAGTACCACATCAACTACTTGTTCAATGCTTAAATTCAACTAGCCATTTTAGTGTAAAGAACAATTATATTACATAATGAGTTATAAATGAATAACATAACCTAATCTGGTTTGCGAAATTCAATCAAATACTTCAAGTTGCTTAACCTGTTACATCTTTGATTTATTTATCCGATAAGGTTTAATTGGCACGACCTTAGCTTGGTTTGCGTTATCATTTATGTACGAGGGTATAAAGCTGTTAAAAGAATATTACGTACTTAAACGTCAACGCCTGCAGAAGTCGCATAGAGTTCATAGTTATTCTCCTCTAGTGATGAATAATACTACTAGAAGACGTAAACGGTAAGATCGAAAAGTAGCTTAATCGCAAACATCAAATACTAATTCATTCTTCTAAGCATACTGCAATATTCAGTGTATATACATTAATATCCAGTTAATTGAATACTTATTCTATTGCTGACACCTGCATAAAAATTATTATCATGCCTTCGAGTCTCACACAATAGGCGTAAATTATGCGGTAATTTCATACCATGTCCTTTTTACACAATTGACAATATTTCAGCAATCAATAGCTGTAAAAATGTTTAGTAACAAACTGAGAATTTTACTTTTATCGCCCCTTTTTAGCTATTGCATGAATTTACCTTTTACGACTATATTCATGCACCTGATACTACAAATAATGCAGATAACACTTGCATATTTTATGATGTTGGTTACTATGTCATACAACGTTTGGTTATTCATATCAGTGGTTGCGGGATCATCTATAGGAAATGTGGTTTTCAATGAGATCAAATTAAAATACTTCAGTTTTGGCGGACCAGGGCAATCCAATATGGAAACTGGTGATCACTGCTTTTAGAAATTA